CTACTGATCGTCCCATGTGTCACAGTGGGTATGCGCAAAGCATTCCCTGACGTAGAAGAGGTCGCACCCCTGCTTGATGGAGAGCATCTTAAGAAACAGACAGCAACTGGATGAGAAATGTGAGAGATTGTGCTCTGTGGACTACTTGGTATAGGCTGACATGATTAAGAAGTAGTTATTGAGAACTTTGCATCTGTGAGCATGAACGTGATGTTCAAATGTCACGTCTTACCTGCACTACTTACATCTGTCAGTGGTAAGAAAGTTCAACTTTGTATTTATTGCTGTTAAAAATACTCGAAAAGAAAAATAAAATACTCCAAGTACTACGTAGTTTCGGCGTAGTCTTTCCTCTTTCGTAAGTACGTACTTATAACAAAGCGAGCAACGTACATCGGCCGATAGGCGTCACCCAGTGGCGGCCCTAGGGCGGTGCGAGCGGTGCGACTGCACCGGGCGCCGGTTATGGGGGGCGCCGAAATCAATCGAAACGCGCCCGCTTTCGCCACACGTCACCGAAACGATTATTAAAAAAAATCGTTATTGACCGACGATCCATCTGGAGCGCAAACGGGCGGCGGCAGCGTGCAGGGCGGCTTTCTTTGATAACAGAAGCAGGCAGGCGACGTGCGAGGGAGAGAGGTGAAATTTCTTTCGTCCGTCGGTCGTCCGTCTCGTCACTTCAGTTGTGTGCGCCGCAGTGTTGTTCTTGATACGGCAATTGCCGTAATATACGGCATTCAGGCATCTTAGGCACCATAAATACGGTATACGGCAGCACTTTGATTACCGTATCAAAATATACGGCAATTGAGTAAAGTAGAGTTTTATGAGTTTTTCATGAGTTTTTAGTAAACAAAAAATAAATATTTCGTCTAATGGAACGAAAAAACTTGTAAACCATAGATGAAGTAGAAGCGCCACGAAAAGAAACGCCAAAAATGCAACCTTATCTCTGAGATTTTAATGTCTAAAATCGTTATTTTCTCATTTTGGTAGATTCTTCACTTTTGTTCGGGTAGGTTCTTGGACTAAATTATTCAAAACCTTAAAAAGTGAAGAATAAAAAAAGTAAGTTTAAAAGTAGTATACGCATAGTACATAATACATCACTTGTATTTTTTTTTAAATTTAAACTTTCCAAATAAAGATTTTATACAATACGGCAATTTTCTTAGTTTTCCTTAAAAATCCGGCAATTTTAGAATTAGAATACGGCAACCCTAAATTTGTCAGGAACAACACTGGTTCGTGCGAGGTCTCGCTGCGCGTCGCCAACGAGACCAGCCCCGCCGCCGTCGTCGAGCACGTCATCGCGGTGAGTGTGACGTCACACGCCATGTGTCCCGGACTGCTCGAGCGAGGTCTCGCTGCGCGTCGCCAACGAGCCCAGCCCCGCCGCCGTTGTCGAGCACGTCATCGCGGTGAGTGTGACGTCACACGCCATGTGTCCCGGACTGCTCGTGCATAACCTTTATGAAGAAGCTCGACAGAAGATGCTGGATGCGATACGGAGAGCCGAGCAAGGACCTGTTTATCACCAGGACCTCACGAGTAGTCGTAGTAATTGGATCGCGCTGCGCGAGTTCGCGCACTCCTGGCACACAATCAGGCGAAGTTACGAGAAGTGATGACATTCATCAACGTTAGCAGCCCGACGCGAAGTACCGTATTTGTGGTGTCAAGCCCCAGAAGGGGGAGAATTGACAATGAGAAGGGACAAGGATAAGAGAAATTTGTAGGGAGTCAAGCAAAGCGCCCGGGGAAAGAGCCCAGAGCAAGTACCTGCGCGCTCTCCCGAGATTCGGTTCGTACGCCGTGAGGCAGGAAGAACCATGGGTGGTGGTGGGATTTGCTCGTGCGAGGTCTCGCTGCGCGTCGCCTACGAGACCAGCCCCGCCGCCGTCGTCGAGCACGTCATCGAGGTGAGTGTGACGTCACACGCCATGTGTCCCGGACTGCTCGAGCGGTCTAGCCAGTTCACGTCGCTGTACCATAGCGGTACTGTCATCACTTATGTTGGAACCTCGCTCGTGTTCAGCGGTAACCATCAATTGCGCGAGTCATGATCATAATTCTATATTGCAGCACCATCATCATCTTCACCACGGCCGAGCAAGTCATCACTAGTTAATTTTGTTGTGGATCCAATGACAGTTTAACTTCCTCCTTGTATAAACTTGACCTTAACTGGTTGGGTGTTTATTGACCATCAAGATATAGATCCTGGTTACGCAGGAGTTGCAGCGGTGGGAACAAGAGGTCCCGTAATTACCTTAAAACCTCGCTCACCTTCAACGGTAATAATCAGTGGCGCGAGTAGGTGCTTATTTCCTGCTTGTTATCAGTATGCTAGAATAGTATCTTTCCAGCAAAGATTCAAAATTCTGCTTTCAGCGACAGTAAATGGCTCTACCACCACGCCCAGTACCATCATACTCTGTGAATCTTTGAATGCAGTTCTATTTCTTTTGAAAAATAAGGGAATGTTTTTTTTTAGTACAATGTTCTTTCTACGGGTCCATATTGGCTCACCTAAAGTTATTTACCCGAAATTGTTCTTCCTAACGCTTTCAAATCCGAATGATCACTCTTCCTAAAATTTTTCATCCTAAAGTTTTCATTCATACTATTTGTAGTGCTACCGGCGATGTTCATAACACTCATGTTTCCGAAAATTGTAATCAATAATATCATTTATGTAAATATATTTAAACTCCTACTGTTTTTTATCATAACACTTTTATCACTAAACATTACCATAATATTTTCACTCATACCATAGAATAATAATAAATACTACGTACAGAAGTACGTTCTTCGCGAATGAAACGTAAGGCCACAGTTATTACCTAACCTAAACCAATAATAATGAATAGACCGATTCGTTTCTGGAACTTTACTGAATGACTGGAGCGGGACTCTGGCTTCGCTCGCTCGGCTATTTCACATAATTATTTTATTCTAAATTTTTATTATCGTTTTTAAATTTATTAAACCCTTAATCATTATTAAAATATCTTAACTGTATGCATAAAACCTTATCCCGAAATAGGGGACATGAGTTCACGAACTTAGAAACAGAGCAAAATTTTGTCACGAAACAGGATCCAAACAAGAGGTCGGCAGAACAATTAATTAAAAAAAAAGTTCAAACTATATAACTATAAATTATGTATTAACTTACTGTCAAAAGACCAAAGTTTAGCATACAAAAGCTTTCATACTGATATCATGCTTGGTTATTTTTAAATAAAATGTTAAAGTCGTAAGAGCCTTAATATACCGAAGTAGGGGGCACTTACCTTAATATGAGGAACTTTTTTAGGTTGTTTTAAATCTTTCACCCAAACACTACTGAACGGATTTTGATGAAACTTAACAGCATTATTGTCGATAGACAAAACAGGTATAGACATATGTAGGTACTTATTACACTATTTTGGTGTGTGCCAAAATACTGGTCAAACTTGAATAAAATATTTTTTTTGAAGATTTGATTTTGTTAAAAACGGATTTTGTGAACCAGGAAAACCATAGGATAGTTTAGTCCCTAAACTGTCTTGCAATTTTTTTGTGACAGTTCGATATACACGCGGGTGAAGCCCCGGGAAATACCTAGTTCATATAGCAGAAATGATTGTTTTGTTGCATATCTTTAGGTTATCATCTTGCGCCACATTATAAATGTTTTGGTTCTATTATCGGAGGAGTCACTCGGGCAACATGAAGATTCTACTGCTGTTGTGTATTGTTGTGCTGAGCACTGTTAGTGCGGAAAGTGAGTGTTTTAATATTTTTTATTATTAACTACAACCCGTTCGAGTAATCTGCGCACCTGGCAGTCGTGACGTCACATCGACGCTCTGGTACGGACGGGACGAAAGCGGCGATCGGGTTTTAGCTGACCCGGCGAACTTCGAACCGCCCGAAAAAATTAACGATTAGGTATGTTACGTGAGGTGTCAATGCGGAAGATGGCGGATTAAAACTTCTTTACTTATTTTTTAAAGCTCTCTCTTTTTTTCACTTGATATTTAAAAAAAAACAAATAAGTCTCAAAAATACTATTTAGAAAGGAAGAAAGAAATATTTTTGTTTTAGTCCAAACATCCAGACTACTTTACAACAACATAATTACTTACTTGGTATTCTTTGGCAGCCATATCAAGTGGATAGACACTAATATTTAAGTTTTACACAAAACAAAAAATAACACAGTGCTCTTCAAGTGTGTGTTGCCAATTTAAATACCTAATTATACAGGCTGAATTTCTACAGTCCCTTTTCAGGTTAGGTGCTTCTTATACACGTCCCAAATACGTATAGCTTACCCTACCACCACTTCAGGACACTGGACAACATCGGCTGCGTCAAGAAGAAGTGGCGAAAAAATCCAATATTATATTGTTTTTTTATTTTTATTTTTTTGTATAACGTTACCTTAATACTAACTTTTAATCTTCTATATTATCTTCTATATAAATAAAAATGAATTGATGTTCGTTAGTCTGATTAAAACTCGAGAACGGCTGAGCTGATTGAGCTGATTTTGGTTTTAAAATGTTTGGCGTAGTCCAGGGTAGGTCTAAACGGTGAGCAAATACGCGCGCGATATTGTTTTTCTGTGACAGACAAAATTCCACGCGAAAGCTAGTTTGTAATATAACTTGCATCTACTTAAAACTACAATTTTTAATGCTTATTTATTTCATTTTCAGACCCAACATGTATGATGCCGATTGAAAGCGGCAATTGTTTCGGCAATTTTCCCAGGTAAAGTTCCCACATTACACTATTAATCTGCAATTTATTTAAATGACATTTTTTTAGAAAATCACGTTCAAGGGTGAATATCCCAAACACGTTTTTTACGCGGCGGAGCTGAGAATCGATGGGAGAAATGTAACTAGAGCGATGATTTTTTTTCTGTATATAGTTTATACAGCGTTTTACACGATAGCAAAGTCTTCAGGACAATAGGTAGTTATTTNTGCGCCGCGCCAGTGTCAGTCAACTGTTAGTTGCTGATGCTTCGCCAGCCTGTTGTCATTGTTTATTCTCGCGCAAGTGTATTTATTGTGTATTTAGCGCAAAGTTACTTGTATTATTGCTATTCTATAGATTAAACTCAAGGTAAGTACTGTTGCAGCAGGTCGTGTTCGTGTTCATGTAAGTATAATGAATGTAGGTACATAAGTCTACGTCATTTAGCGATATTAGATCTTGGATGTATGTAGGTACTTAATTATTTGTTTTTATATATTACCCGACTGCGATGAACCCTAAAGGAGTGTTATGTTTTCAGCTCGTATCTTAAGGGTATTGCAATTTGCAATGCATTCTAACAGTAGTAAGCGATTGTTAGGGCAGGGTGGCATACGACCACGGCTTTCCTCTGAACATCATTACATATATATCTGTGTATAAAAATAAAAATTGTATGTAAGTTGTCTACTTAATAGATGATAAATATTAAATAGTTTGTTGAGAAGAATGTCTGTCAAGAATATTTTCTTTTTCTATACTTTTTAGAGCGCGACGCGAGCTTTCCATAGTCGGGGTGTTTTTTTTTTGTTTTAGTTATTAATATTTTTTTCTTTTTGTAAAGCGAACCTAACTCTGTGATTTGTTACCGTGGAAGAAATGGACTTTATGTAATCGCAGCATATAATAGGTGTATTGTATTACATTTAATAAATTTATCTTTTACAGAAAAAAATCATGTCACTGCCTCCAAAAAAATTATCTGGTGCTCAAAACTTAAAAAGAAAACGGAAAAAGCAAGAAGAATCTGAGAAGGCAGCTAAATTATTATCGAAATTTTTGAGACCTGAGAAATCATCTGAATCGTTATCATCAGAACTAGTTCAACTCCACCACGCAACGGAAGAAGACCTACTTAATAAAAGTTCTTCAGGCGAAGCTCATGAAGATGAAAAACAACACATTCAAGAAGATTTACCTGGTTCTCTATATTTTCGTTGTTGCTAAATTTTCATTCACTTTCCAAAAAAATACCTATTGGTGTTATTAGACTAGCAGCTTCAAGCGTAATTTCATTTTCCAACTAGTTCAGTGGCCAAAATCATAAACATGCTTAATTTAATTTGGCGTATATTCATTTGTCACTGCTAGATATAGGTCTCCCCCAAAGCATCCGACAACGTCCCGTCTTGCGCTACCGCGACCTTCACCAGGTCATCGGTTGACCCTGAGGAGAACCTGCCCGCGCTGCGTCTTCCGGTAGGGACATGGGCGCCACTCAAGAATTCCAATTCCATTCTATCCTATCCTGAAGCTTAAAGACGTCCTCCAATTCGGTCTACAAACGCCAAGCACAGTAGCAAGTGAACTATGTAGTTGGAATATGAAATTACGCTTGAAGCTTTTAATACAAATTATTCCCTCACCTCGTTCGTTTCAGTTAGCGAAATGTTCATAATTCATAATTTTTTCGTCTGGACTTACTTTTTCTGTATTTATTTAGGTATTCCAGGAACCTCTTCTGGATTTCAAAATATTTCGGAAGAAATTATATCCGATGTACAATCATCATCATCTCCTTTTAGAAAAAAAAAATATGATGATATTTCAGAATGGCCATTCATTGACTCTGCGACAAGAGATGAAATAATTACTGAAGGCCCTGTAAGTAATCAAATGAGTAACGAAAACTACCCAAGGAAACTTGACGGTCGTCATTTTTCAAATATGCATTTTGAAAGAGTAATGCCAAATGGGGAAACTTTCAAAAGAAGATGGCTCGTGTACTCTAAATCTGCAGATAAAGTACATTGTTTTTGCTGCCGTTTATTTAATACAAATCCCCAGTCTAGATTGGGAAAAGAAGGATTTGACGACTGGAGGCACTTATCAACGCGTCTCAAAATTCACGAAACATCCTCAGATCATCGACGTGCTGTGAACAATTGGATAGAAGCGTCAATTAGATTAAAGAACTTCAGTGGAATAGACAAGCACTTGCAAAAGCAGATTGAGAGTGAGAAAACACGATGGGTTGCTATCCTCGAACGAATGATGTCAATAGTATTTTTCTTAGCAAGCAATAATTTATCGTTTAGAGGGAGTTCTGGAGCGGAAACTTTATACACTCCTAATAATGGTAATTTCCTGGGTTTAGTGCAGTTACTGGGAAAATTTGATATTGTAATGATGGAGCACCTTCGTCGTGTTGTAAATAAGGAGACTAATNAAAATAATTCCTGAAAGATCCATATTGGAAAAAGCCTGTAGTGATTTGCAAATCAGTTTAACAGATGGGGAAAAATGTGACGTGTCTGGTTGTGAATTGGTTGAGGAACTTATGAGCTTGAACCCATTAATAAAAGATCTTCAATCAGCAGAGCCACTTAAAGTTCTCCAACTTATTAAAAAGAATGATTGGCAGGATATTTTCCCAAATGTGTGGACAGCACTTCGCATCTTGCTGACTATACCTGTAACTGTCGCTAAAGGGGAACGAAGCTTCAGTAAATTGAAACTTATAAAAACTTACCTACGTTCTACTATGTGTCAGGAAAGACTGTCAGATCTTGGAATCTTGTCCATAGAAAATGCTATTGCTCAGAAGCTAAATTATTCCGAATTAATAAAAAAATTTGCAAGCGCAAAAGCCAGAAAGGTAGCCATTTAAGTTTTTCATTAAAGTGGTTGTTGGAAGTTTTTTTTTTTAAGACTGTATGTAGCCTATCAGTTTGAATAAAAGTTGTGAAACAAAATTATTACTTAACTGTTTTTATTTCTCATCTGTACAATTTGCCTCAGCAGGGCATGAGGGTAATACAAGCGGGATTGACGTCATTTTTTTTATTGCGAATGAGCAGAACAACTGCTATGACAAGCACGATAGTCATCATTGTACTTGCCTCATATATCTATAGTAATTTGGCAGATCTAATACTAGTAGGTAATCACGGATAAAGTAACTACATAGTATAGGAACAACTCGGGGCGCCATTTTGAGATTTTGCACCACCTAAAACTTTTGCTAGGGCCGCCACTGGCGTCACCGATCCGGCGAAAGACGGCATCTTCATTTAGCTACGAAATTGAATTTATGTGACAACCTGTCTTGGAGAAATTCCCTTTCTATTCGGGAACCTTCGTGGGTACAAGTTATAAGATGTATAAAATTTTGATAAGTTTTAGGATTGGCATTTGGATTTGGTTCATTGAATTTGAATCAGAAATGAGGAGATCCGCAGGAGAACCAAAGTAACCGACATAGCTCGCAGAATTGCTAAAATCATGTGGCAGTGGGCGTGGCACATAGCTCGTAGAGACGATGGCCGTTAGGGCAGAAAAGTTCTCGAGTGGCGACCACGGGCTGGAAGACGTAGCATGGGCAGGCCTCCTTCAAGGTGGACCGATGATCTTGTAAAGGTCGCGGGAAGAGCCTGGATGCGGGCAGCGCAGGACTGTTAATTATGGAAAACCTTGGGGAGGCCTTTGTCCAGCAGTGGACGTCATTAGGCTGAAACAAACGAACGGACGGCATATGAAAGACTAGGTTGGTTTTCGTCCAAAATACAGGGTGATTCATTCCAGTGAGGATTCCAGTTAAGAAGGAGAAAGAGGAAGGTCGCTACCACCTTCGGCCTAATCACCACTTTTCATCAGGTGAGATGCTGGCTAAGGGTTCCTCGTTTAAGATAAAAAAAATGCAGTCCTATAAAATGACATCAAAGCGATCAACACGTAAAAAAGCTTGCACAACCAGAGTAGAAAAATACTTCTTCTCATAAATTATACCAAACATGAACGGTATACGATCCCCACTTTTTGTTTTCGGCTGAAATACCTACTTCGTAATTTTACGATGTTTATTAAATCGCCGAAGTTATTGTGGACGTTGCTTGCAATAAGAATTTTTAATTTTAGATATTTTATGGCTCGGATATTGGGTAGTGATGCACAAAGCCAAAAAATATTCAACGTGAAATTGTGAAATACGGCAGTTTATAATATAACGCGCGAGATTGTAAATTAACAGGTTAGGTTAGATTGCAACCTAAGTACCTACGTCAAATTATAATCTGACGAAATTTGCAATTTTTTGGTGAATTATAGATACCTAATAAGTATTTTTGCCATGATTCCAATATAAACTAACAATATACAGGTGTTTCAATTGCAATAAGTTTTCAAACTCAATCTTATTTTATTCAATTCATAGAGCTGTTTTTATTTAAAATAACCTGGGATTTCAAAGGAAAAATCTCCACAACTTCTGCTGTTGACTCAAACATATTTGTTAAAACACTGAAAACAAAATACATAAGGTATTTGAATATTGTATGAGAGTGTAGAGTTGCAAGCAAAAATCATGCACACGATAACGCCGTATGATGGCTTAACATTTTCAAAATTTGCAATTCAAATCAGTGGGGGGCGGGGTAGTCACAGTGAAAATTGAGTCAGTAACTTAAATAATATGTAATGCATCACTAAACGTGCTAAAGTAACAGACTGTTTCAATAGTGGTTATGTATTTAAAATACCGACTGTTACTTCTTCGTTTTTCTTGTTACAAAATAAAAAAACAGCTGACAGCTTTTTAAATTTCAAAGAGCTAAAAGTACTATAGTCTGGTCCGGGAGCACGTAGAATTTTGTCCAATGACCCCAAGCTACCCATCCTTATCGCTCGCACGTAATTATGTTGCTGACACGCTCGCACATTCACTGCGGGCGCCCGTCCCACAGTCGCGACAGCAATATAATTGCGCGCGAGCGATAAGGATGGGTAGCTTGGGGTCATTGGACAAAATTCTACGTGCTCCCGGACCAGAATATAGTGTGAAAAACTAAAATAAAAGTACAAAATCCTTCAATGTATCATTTAATTAAAATAGTAGGAATACCTATTAGATTTCGGAATTAAAAACTTAAAATAAATACTCATAAAAGAAAAATGGCATTAAATTCGTGGTAAAAGTATTTAGCTTAGGGGAAATTGACGCCTATTAAGTATCCATTTCTTGTTCAAATTGAACTTACTATATTCATGTTTACTATGACATAATGGTGTGCGTATGTCATAGCGACGAACACGAATTCAAAATTAGTTCCGGAAAGTACTTGGATAGTCTAATAATTTATGACAGTGACCATAACAATACAAATACTACGAGTACAAGGCTTTACCCTGTACCTAACTCAAAACCTGAAAAAGATTTCATGAACGTCCTAACGCCCGTATTCACAAACATTACTATGAGGTCTCACAGTGCGCGTGGACGCACAGGGTCACACACGAACCAATCACAGAGCTCTAGTCAACGCTGTGCGTTCGATTTGCTGCTTCACATAAGCAAGTATCGTTTGTGAATACGGGTGTTAATGTATGGACCAAAAAACCCAGAATCAATTGGGACTAAATGGATATTAACAGTTTTATTATGATGCACATTTAATTTTTACCACACCGAAAGCTCAATGTCGGAATCAATGGGGGGTTGTTAGATACTGAACGCAACATTTTCTACTATTATATTGGTAGAACTGTATTAGTGTTAATTTGTTTAATGTTTGTGTTGGTAACACTGCTCTGTCATCGCTCTTCCGTCGTACATTTTTACCGCAAAATACATTGTTCTGTTTTATCCGCAAATAATCTTTTATTTAACTAAAGTAATCACAATTCAACAGGGGTACTATAGAAGTTATAGACTGATAAACAAGCATAAGTATTATGGTTACCACGAGAGGTTAACGGGGTTAAAAAAATGCATTAATTCTATCAAGTAAATAATTCCACTAAGCTATCAAGTTAAATACGCCCGCGTTTAGAAAAAGTTTTGCAACTTTCACACTAAGTTTCATCCAAAATAGACAACATACTAATTAATAAAGTAGGTTAATTAACCTGATGTATCGCTGACCTAATTAAGGCGTTTCAAATCCGATGGAGCCCAAAAGCACGGATAAGAGCAAAGTTACAAATGGGAAATTTTTGAGACTTACACCAAAACATTTCCTGTAACCGTGGGGATGAGTTTGAACCCTTAATGATCATGTTAAGTTACTAATTTGGAGATTAAAGTTTGTTATGATACGATATGGAGAGTTAATTTGATTAAGATCAAAGTTTACGTCGAATACTTGGAATGTTTGTTTTTTGTAAGAAATAAAGATAAAGCTAAGTAGGTAAATTAATAATAATATGTCTACTTCTACCAGCAAAACAAAATACACGCGAGCGTAGCCATGAGCAAAATATATTACATTAAATATAGAGTTTCCTAAAAAGTATAAGGAGATTTTCCTTTTTTTTATTCATTGCACTTTAATTTTATTATAACTACTGCTAATTTTCTAACTTGAAAACCAACCCATAATGTAAAAAATACATAAACAAGATTTTACAGGTATTTTTCCATTACGAAAGTAATATCATCTCAATGCAGTTTCACGCACACTTTTCTCGTTTTCCAATCATCTACACAGCCAAGACCCAAAATTGAAAATCTTTTTATCATAATAAATGTATTCTATGTAAAAACGGCGATAACAATAAATACATACTTACTACACTGACTCGTCTTAACCAATTTATTGTTATTACGAAACGAGTCGAAATGAGATTTGCCAAAGGATTCCATAAATTCAGCTTAGGGAATGTGGGGAATGAAATCCCACAACATAAACATAAGCAGCAGGCCTATTTACAGAAGCTTCAACAAAAACCAGCGCTCTATCATCACTGGGAAACCAGATGCAGTTTAACGTACCATCTGATCTTACAAAAACAGAGCGTACCTACTTATACCACAAAATCTGGCAAGGCACCTGTAACTCCACCAACTGCGAGTATCTATCACAGTATATATATGAGCTAAAGCAGTAAGGAAACTTAGCCCTTTCGGCGAGTTAAATACCTACACTTCAACTGAGTGTTAGGGTTGGCACTCTTAATCTTTATAAAATTAATAAGGTTCTTACTTAATTATTTATTAAAACGTTTATTTAGGTTTTTTAATTATCAAATACCTAACGGAATAAATTAATTGACTAAGTAGTTAACAAAAACGTGCGGAGCAAATTACTTTATCAAATAGAACACATAAATTGTTAAAAAGCGTAATTACGTAATTTAAAAATAACTATTACAAAATCAGATGTAAGCACTTTATTTAAAAAGTAATATTAAATCATTTTTACAATTCAGAATTATTACGAAGTTTAAAAAATGAAAGTTCTGGTTATGAAGATGCCGAGTTCAAGCAGCCGTATACTACGCAATACACTCGTGGCATGTTTTTAAAAATACAGCGGACAGTGCATGCAATAAAATTATTATTAAAACACAACGCGCGCGACTCTAATCCATATCTGTGCGCGCAACACTCGCGACGGTTGGACTGCGAGGTTCACTGAGCTCGTGTAAAGCGTGCGTCTGTGTGCGTGAGTCTGATTTCGAGCGTTTGTATGAAGCTTCCGTACTGTTTGATTTATCTACTGTGTATCTATGGAGTAGAGTAGGCTTCTACTACTCCCAGTCTTTCCGTGGGTGTTACAAAAGGTGACTAAGGGACAAATAATAATGAAACATTGGAAGTGTAAGCCAAATCTTCCATTTGGCTTCTGTGTGCTTACCATGAGTTTACGTTAGGTGTGCTCGCTAGCGAGTACGTCAAAAAAAATCTATGAAGATTTTATTTCTTGAAACTAGCCGCTAGAGGCGCTGCACAATAACATTTTAATGACATTTTTTTACGTAGTCGCTAGCGAGCACACCTAACGTAAACTCATGGTAAACACACTGGTAAATTAAATTGAATCGCACTCCTGCAGTGCAGGATTGATGAGGATTTGATGAGTGCTACTGACAACGCCACTCTTGTGGCGGAGTTTTGGGCTGACACTGTGTAGGTTGGTTGTCGACACGAAAAGAAGAAGTGGAAACTTAATAATGAAGAAAACTCTGGGAAACCGATTGTCCGACTGTCAGTCCTATCCATCCAATAGCAAAAAAAGAAGAATTGAAGTAATTTTTGGTGGCTTATTATGCCGACTTTCGTACGTTTAACACGAGGGAATTGTTGAGTCTTCTGCATATTTTTCTATTGTACGTGGCGTTAGTATACAATGCTTTGGATCTTGAAATTGCCTAAAGATATCATACTGGATATAACGTGTAATTTGTAACAAATGAAAGCAAATGATGTTTTTGTAAATAATACGAATAACCTTTGAACCCATAACGTTTTCCTTGACTTTTTTAATCAGTAATGCCTACAAAAACCGGTCCCACCCTCATCCAGGTGTTTCCCTAAACATATTATTATGCCTATATACCTGAGCTCCTAATCTACAATTCCAAAATTTTTATACCTCAATGCGAAAGGTCACTGACTGACTCACTCATCACAAAATCTCAGAAACTACAAGTGCTAGGAGTCTCAAATTTTGCATAGGGGTTCCTTTTAGAACGTAAGTGCTTACTAAGACGGGATTTTGCAAAATTCAACCCCTAAGGGGGTAAAAGGTATGCCATAGGCCGCTAGTAATAGGTATTCTAAAGCTGAAGAGTTTGTTTGTTAAATTGCTTGATCTCAGGAACTACTGATACGATTTGAAAATGTATATGTGTGTTGGACAACATCACCTTACTTACCTACAGCCAATAGGGGCGGAGCAGTAAAGGAAAATGTTGCAAAAACGGGAAATAATTTTTCAAACTATTTTCACACAGCTAGTAAATATTAAAGTAGAGTATATTAATATGTATACGTACTTTTAATAATTAGTCTTATTATCTGGTGTCTTGAAAAGGTTATAATAATATTCTTCATCTTCCATGATATTGATGTTATTCACGAAAAATATTACGTTACAAGAAGCAATCAAAACCTCAGCGACTGAATGAAAACAACATTGGATAAAATTGAGTTTATGTTACAATGAACCCAATTTGTTAAAAGGTCTTTTGATGTACCCTTGTCTGGGATATAAGATTAACTAAACGAGTTAGATTTCAAGCCAAGTGGTGTACTTTTGTTCAAGCAGAGATATATCTGTTACCCTTTGTTAATTTAGAACATTCTAGAATAGAATTTGATAGTAAACAATAGAGAATTTGATTCTATTGTTGGATAGTAAATAATATAATTAAAGATATGTGGATTCTGTGGAGGGCTGTTGAACTGAATTCAAGGTCATCAGTTTTGTGTAAAGGGTTACAGTTAATTTATTTAACAATATTTGATATTGAAATCAAGTTTAAGATGTTTAGACGATTATCACACTGCACCGCGCTCCGCCGCGGTCCGCGTGATTACATATAAAAAATCCCGCGCGCAGATGCGTTGTCAGTGTGTTGTGCCGCGCGTGTTTTCTATACAAACTGAGGTACTTGCATACAATGANCCTTAAGATTGTATAATTATGGTCTGTTTTATCTCAGGATATAATGCATAGACCTTTGTTTACCGATTGTAATTATTTCCAGGGTAAAAATACTCACTAAACCAGATTTTTCGTAACTTAAAGTTGTGTACTATTTATTGTACGGCGGGCGTTAATGGGTTAACTTAAGTAACTCTGGCGTAAGCAGTCAACAGACGATGAAGCAATATTACTATTTTAAGCTGAAAATATATTGATGACAATGAATCATGCATCCACTTGCTGGAGCACGTACTGCAATAACCGTGCGATTAAAACATCAACTTCATACCCTGAACATGATACTGTATGACATTTTAATTGTAGGTAGGTACATAACTAGCCATTCTACTGTTAGATAACAAATAAATATAACGCATGTTGCATAAGTCAGCTATGAAGCTCTGTACATCCGTGACTCCGGCGATAAAATGGCACGTTAAGTGTAATGTCACATTAGCAATAACACAAACGTGACATGGCTTACGTGCGACATTGTTTAAAATAAAATGCAGCCCGCACGTAGGTATGAGAAAATGTTCCACTAAAATAAAAATTGAATTTATTCGGTACTACGATGTATCCTTTTTACACACACACTTCATGCCCTTGAAAAAGCAATTACAATTACAATCTGTTACTATTTACATAATGAACTTTTTAATTACTTCATGTTAAGTAACTACTTTAATTGGAAAATGGCACCTAATACTGTTACATAAGATGTCATGGTGTTTATTTTGATACTTCGTTCAATTTAGAGTACTTACCTATGTACTATTTAAGTTTTCAATAATATTAATGGTTATATACGTTTACAGTAAACTACGTTAATACCTCAATTTTATAGATTACTGTTTACTATGGAAATATTAGTACAAATATTATCTACATAATAATATGTATAAACTTGGTAAGGTTTGTTATTACTTATTAATATTATAATAACAAAAGACTAACTTCATCATTCTTTGAACATAAATATGCAATTACGAATATAATATCAATATTTGATTTAAGAACAGGTATTTTACATAATTATCGACGTAATAAACCGGTAAGTAATAAATAAACGCAGGTCACATTATAATACTATGCAGAACGTATTAAAAATATTTTAATATGCTATTGTCGCCAGCGTTACGACTATTTTGGTACATATCGTGATGAATTCTTACATTAAAGTAGAACCTACTAACTAATCGACATAGCTCAACGCACACCACGCCGAGGTTAACAAAGGTCAATGTTTGGCAATTACCAACCTTTTATGTGTTTACATTGGAATTTACAACTCGTCAAATTTACACCCGCAACGTGTTAACTAGAGGTCGTACTACTCAGCGAGGTTTATTAATATTTGAGTTTGTCAGCCATTGACCACCTGTATTAACCCTGGAATACCGGAATAAGTGAAAGAGCTTATAATATCGAATTAACTGATTTAATCACTGTTTTAAACTCTACAATACGATATCAAATTACACTATAAATAGCTGTATTTGATTAAGTCAATACTTTTTTATTATATTGATAAAAGTTACCGTTTTTAGCTGTACACAGTACAAATAGGAAATAGGTTTGCCCATGTTAGTACTGACACAGTAAGACTAATAATTTAAAATACCTTTTGAAAACTTTAAAAAATATCTAATTACGTATTGATCATTTGCTAACTCAAACTTAAAATGGAGCCTTCATAGAGTCGCCATTATCAATACATGATAGTTTTTCTTCCCGCATAGTCGTCGCTGTAACAATATAAGATTGAGTATGAAACCTTACCGATCATTCCTCGGTTGACTTCTTCGACCGCCCGCTCGATGAGCACGAAGAGTGACCACATGACGCACAGGGCTGCCACGCAGTGGAACAGCACAGCGCAGCACAACCGCCGGCGCTCGACTCCCGACATCTCTAGGAGTCGCCACTGCAAGTTAACGCACAATTTAAATAACCAATCAACTAATTATAAAACTAAACATTTCACACTGAACTATCTAGTCCCAAACTAAGCATAACTATGGGTATTAAACAATGGAATGAAAAAAATATTATAGAGGTGTGGTTTTGTAAAACAACGCCCATCAAAAATACCTTTCGTTCGTTCGTTCGTTGCAGCCAAATGACGTCCACTGCTGGACAAAGGCCTCCTCCAAGGTTTTCCACAATGCACGGTCCTGCGCTGCCCGCATCCAGGCTCTTCCCGCGACCTTTACGAGATCGTCGCTCCACCTAGTAGGAGGCCTGCCCACGCTACGTCTTCCAGCCCGTGGTCGCCACTCGAGAACTTTTCTGCCCCAACGGCCATCGTCTCTACGAGCTATGTGCCCCGCCCACTGCCACTTGGTTTTAGCAATTCTGCGAGCTATGTCGGTCACTTTAGTTCTCCTGCGGATCTCCTCATTTCTGATTCGATCACGCAGGGAAACTCCAAGCATGGCCCGCTCCATCGCCCTTTGGGTGACCTTGAGCCTTCAATAAAGCCAAAAATACCTTTAATCATGGAAAAATCCATGAAATCAGGAAAATGGTATTATTACGCGGGCGAGCTATCGGACAGTCCCCCCGCTCTCCCGCGGCGGCCGCATGTGCTCGGTGGTGTAGCGGGGTACGCGGGGGTGGTGCGGGCGGTAACAAGCGCCGTCTCGAAAGTTTTAGGAGACGTTTGAACAAGGTTTTTTTACTAATAAAGTAATAGTTCAAATTTTATTTGTTTTTATTGTTTTTACTTTCATGTGTACTACCACCCCAGAGATAGGCATTGTTTTACAAAACCACACCCTGTATAAGCTTTTGTCATTACTACTCATTTTACATTAATACTAGTTTTGGCCATCCCTAGCCTTCTGGTAATGATGCTATAAATTGGAGAACATCCCTTATTAATTAGTTATATTTTTCTATTATCTTTAAAAATTCCAAGTCTTTCTTTTTAAAATTAGCATTGATAACATCAGTGTTATCAATGCTATTTACACATCAGTGTGTAAAAGAATAATGATAATAAGATTAGAATAAGAGTATATTGGTACGTATAATATTGTAAAGTTAAAGTTTGATTCAGTATTTTGTTGTTGAAGGAAAATATACCCAGAAGAGTGATGCAGTTTTACATCTTGCAATTAACATTTTATAATTAAACAGGACAAAACATTTTAATTGGCTCCTCACTGTACTGTTTAATTACTACCGTCAATATAAGAAATGCTAAAATGCTGTGCTCGACAGAGTTCATCTCTAAAATAATATACCACCTTTGTAACATTGTAGGTGCAATAATTAATTGAGTATTGAGTAAAAGGATTGTGTAGAAATCTTAATCAATAATAAAGTATTTTTATAAAAACACATACCTCATTGAATGGCTTTATTTTAGTGTGCATGATAAAGTTGAATTTACAGAGTTCACATGATCTAGTCTCTGATGCCGTTAACCATTGCTGCAGGCAACTCTGGTGAACATACTTCAAGCTCCCTGAAAGAAAGAATTCATTGTAATTATTTGAATCACCAATTAGGGTATTAATTTACATATTCACAAAGATAAAATAAGTACTAATTTATCCTCATGACTGTGACATCCTTAGAACTGAATAAATGGAATGTTTTCCAGGAAATAACTACCTTAAATACTTACAGATGGTTATAGTAAAATAGATCTAGATTGTTTGACATTTCATGATCAAAGTTTATAAGTTCAGCAGATAAACTTGAAAAAGATTGAGCCAATGAGTTGTGAATATTATTTTATTAAAAATTATCACAACCATGAACCATGTTTATTTTTTGTTAAAATTAATGGAATCAATTCATACTGCATGCATATCATACCTCATGTAATGGAAATATAGGGCAACTTAAAGGAATATTTATAAATGTGTGGATGTGGCATTTGTATCTATACTATACTCAACATCAAATAAACCGCACCTTCCGCGACGCGAACTTTAACGATTTTCTTCTGACACAATCATGGTACCCCAACAATATTGGTGTTATTTGAAAGCCCAATAAATATACTTAAAGAAAAACACATTTAATTTCTTAATAAATTATTAACATATACCATAAATGTGACTTGAAAAAATACCTCACTTTGGGCCCACCTATGGGATCAATTAGACCAATTTTTATGTAAAACCAAATAATGATTTCACGTGTCCTCTTTAACAGATGGATAGCAATTAAACCCAACTTATCAGTTTTATAGCCATAAAAGTTGGCTCTAGCGTAACTACCTATTTTTTGAAGAAGTGACTCTGGATCCTTCTAAAGACACATTTTTGGGGTAAAAACCTTTCCTTTGACTTTTAAATGGTACCAATATTGGTGGGAAGTGGGGATGCATACGTTTGAAAATGCTTGTAGCGGGAGGTGCGATTTATTTGACGTCGAGTGTATTTTTAACACATTTTTCATTGAAAAATGGGTACTTCAATGGGTCAATTCTTACATTTGTGTTACTTAAATACACTGAAAGCAATAATTGTAATATATTGAAAATGTTTCCATTGTGTTAGCATGAAATTAGCAGTGCTATCCTTAACCTTCAGGAAATGTATAGACGGAGATTAACATGATGAAGTAAGCTATAAATTATGTAACCTATGCACTTGTTATCACTGCTAAATGTAAACATTATGTGACTTCATGCATTATGTGATTTTGTAACATCATCAATATTGATAACTACCTAACCATAAAATGTTTAAAGTGCAATATAATTGATTTAATTATTATGACTTGTAATTTATTGCTAAATTTGTTTGTTATTACAAAAACATCACATGCATGTAAAACAGCTATAAATAAATTACTGGAAACTGTTACAAATTATTGTTTATAATATTAACACAAGTAGTAAACACCTGATTAATTTTGCTCTCACATTTATTTCGCAAACTAGCATTAGTTTAAGTTAGGAGTCTACTCAGAATAAAGAGCAGTTTTTTTTTTCATAAATTATTTTTGATCAAAAAATCAAACATAACAAAAAATGCAATGTTGATGAACAATAAAAACAATCGGGGTTACGCTGGTTTACGTGAGTCACAGGACAGGCGCATACCTGAACAATAGCAGGGCGCGAGCAGAGGGTTGTGCACCTCGCTCTCGCAGTGGCAGATGCGGCAGATGTCCCCGCTGGAGTTGCTGCACGACGTGCGGCTGCTGCCCGAGCCCGTGCGCACGGCTTCCCTGCCACATCCACCACCCCATTCCCAACTCTCAATATCGGACGAATTTTTAACGTTTATCTGTTGCACTGGCATTGTTACCGCTAAGAATGCTCAAAAGAGCCAACGCAGGTCCTCATTTACAAACACAAATGAAAATTTTGAGCGGTTATCATATCGACAAAGCGAATAACTAAAAACATGTTGTCACGTCTTCACATCGCAGCGATTTTAACTAGATGTGTTACAAGTATGTAACTACTACTGTGGTGTATATTTGGAGGAAGAAGATGGGAAAATACACAAAATAAAAGATGTAAACTCTACGCTTTTCACTCAACAAGAAAAATATCAATAACCATCGCGTACGGATGCTGGTACTGTCAAAATCAAAATTCAATGAACGAATGAATGATTGATTGGACCGACAATGGACGTGAGTAGTGAATGAACGAATTAAAAGTAACCCTGTAATGCTGTGCTACTTGGCCTTTTGAAATGAGCTCGAACTCGCTCCCTCTATGTTGTTATTAAATCTTTGGCATCTCCTTTAATCTATGCCTGTCAAATTTTTTGACTTTTGGTTTTTTTTCTTTCTGTCTTGCTCTCTGTGACATTTGAGCGGCTTTCGGCGGTGGTGGTTTTTCAGTGGAAAATTGCGTACATGACAAAGCCTTAAAATGGAAGTTCCCTCTGAAATTAAAGCTGAAGCTAATTCTTTAGTGCATCAATTCCTCCTAAATGTAGATAAAGGATTGGCACAAAACTTTGCCAAGCTGACAAAAGCGGTGAGTACCAAGAACCACGTGTGGCGGTGGCCTCGGTTCACACGTGGTGGTTAACTATCCAAATGTACTACCGAGACTTGATTTTGTATATTATTTAGCTTGTGTTTCATGAAGAATGATGATATTTACCAACCTTTTTGATATCAACAATGATTTCACTATTCGTCACTACCACTGACTTGTCTAAAAAATTAAATCCATTTCCGTAGTTACCATTGATTGCCTGCTTTTATTTGTATTATATTGTTTCAGAAACCACGTGCCAAAACTCTGCCTACACTCACCGATTTAATTGCAGAGAATAAAAAACAGAAACCTTCCAAAAAGGCTGCAGAAAGGTATTAGTATTTCTATCATTATGATGCTACTGGCCTTGTTGGTTAGATTAGAAGACTATAAACATCATTATGGTTGATATACGTTATTTTGCTTGAAAAACACTTATTTCATTAAAATGTAATGTATGTTAAGTAATATTATGTCATAATTTCCTAACCAAACTTAATAGTTTCAGTACTACACTTTATCTAAGATTCATTAATAATATCTTTATTTTAACACCATTGTGAAGTGTGTGGAGTATGATAGACATAATAATGTTACAACTTTTGTTTTTAGTTCTGACGATTCCAGTGATGAAGACGAGCCTCCAAAGAAAGTCCCACAGATCAATGGCAAAGCACCTGCTGCAAACAAGAAACAACAGTCATCAGATTCTGATAGCTCAGAAGATGAAAAACCAGCCCCAGTATGTATTTTAAAACTCATCATAATTATTAAAGTAATATTTTGTATGGTATCATTGAACATTATCACTCTGTGGGAGATATTAACTATTAAATAATAAAATGTCATTTGGGTTTAAAAAAATACCATGCATGCACATACATTTTTGAGGTTATGTAAGTGTGATGTTCAACCCTGAGTTTTCTGTTCTCTGGAAATGTACTGCACTTTAATATTTGATTGATTTGGTTTTGAAGTAACAAAAACATTATTAAATATTGAGGTGACTAATATTTTAAATGATTATCAGGCCTCAATTATGAACTAAATGTCAAAACAATAATATTTGTATGATGATACAAAGTACTATTTATTTTACAATACAATATCACACATGCACTCTCAAGATGACTGTTTACAAACTTGTTATTTCAGAAACTGCACAGCTATAAGCAATTATGTAATTGATTTCCTGAAAAAAGTGTTCTTACCTTGGAGAAAGATTTACTGTGTATTTTGTATCACTATTTCAGACATGTAACTAGTTTAGATATGCAGTTCCAAATTAAATAGTTAATACTTTGCTCATTAGGGTGATAATGAGTCAATGTCAATACATTGATTACCTGCAATGATGAAAATATGTGAATGATTTAATGTGATTTTAATTTTACAATATTCGTCACTACCTCTGAAAAGTAATGCCATAATGCTTTATATGCATTTTACTTTTGTAGATATAGTAATTTTTTTATATTGTTTACAGGCAAAGCCTAAGCCAGCTGTAACACCAGCCAAAAAAGCAGCAGATTCATCAGACAGTGACAGTAGTGACGATAATGCCACGTCAAAACCCAGTAAGCCACCAGTGAAACCTCAATTAAACAATACACCAGCCAAAGCAGCTGCTAAGACTCCTGCCAAGAAACCAGAATCATCCGATAGTGACAGCAGTGATGAAGACACACCAGCACAAAAGAAGCCAGCACCCAAAACACCTGTTGCTGCCAAAGCTCCAGTAAAGAAGCAGGATTCATCTGACAGTAGCAGTGAAGATGAAAAACCTAAGGCACAAGCAAAGACACCCGCCAAGACACCTGCTAAAACACCTGTAGCCAAAGCCCCAGCTAAAAAGCAAGATTCATCATCTGATAGTAGTGACAGTGAAGATGAAAAACCCAAGCCACAAGCAAAAACACCTGCTAAAACTCCTGTAGCTAAGGCCCCAGCTAAAAAACAGGAGTCATCTGATGACAGTGACAGCAGTGAAGATGAAAAACCGAAGCCTCAAGCCAAGACACCTGCAAAAACACCTGTAGCTAAGGCTCCACCTAAGAAACAGGAATCATCTGATGACAGCGATAGCAGTGATGATGACAAACCTGCTCCAAAACCTGCCGCCAAACCACAGGCTACACCAGCCAAAACTCCATCCAAGGCTCCAGTTAAAAAGCAAGAATCGTCAGACGACAGTGACAGCAGTGATGATGATAAGCCTAAAAAACCAGTACAAAAACCTCAGCCTGCTAAGCCTGCAGCTAAAGCACCTGCAAAGAAGGACTCATCTGATGATAGTGATGACAGCAGTGAAGACGAAAAGCCTAAGCCTGCTCAGAAGACCCCCGCAAAGGCACAACCTGCGGCTAAACCAGTTGCTAAAAAAGCATCTTCTTCTGAAGACAGTGAAGAGGACAGTGAAGATGAGAAACCTAAGAAGCCAATTCAAAAGCCCCAACCGACCCCAGCTAAGTTAGCTAATAAACCACCAGTCAAGAAGGACTCTTCTGATGATAGTGATGATAGCAGTGAGGATGAAAAGCCTAAGCCTGCCCAAAAGACTCCTGCTAAGCCTGCTGCTAAACCAGCTGCAAAGAAAGATTCTTCTTCAGATGATGACAGCAGTGAGGATGAAAAACCGAAGCAAGCTGTGAAGTCTACCCCAGCTAAAGCTGCACCAGCTAAAAAAGCTGATTCCTCTGATGATGACAGCAGCGATGATGAGCCTAAACCAGCTCCTGCTAAGAAACCAGCTGCTAAGAAAGAATCTTCAGATGATAGCGATGACAGTGATGATGAACCTCCTGCAAAAGTATCTAAAAAAAATGATGACATTCAAGTGAGTATGCTAACATATTTACTATCTTGAAACTTATTATTTGTTTGTGTTAACATAATATCTAATATAATTTTTCTTATTTTTAGACAAATGGTTTCCAATCTGGAAGGAAGAGGAAAGCATCCAATGAAGATTTGGGACCAGCTAAAAAGCCATACAGCAATTTTGTAAAGGTAAGCAATACTCAATACTGTTAGCATGCACTATTTAATATAATGTATTGTGATAATTAAATTATCTGGCCTAATTATTTTTAAAATGCTGACTTTAGGGGACCAACGTCGTCTCTACACCGAATACTAAAGAAAATGAAGCCGATAATAAGCCATCTCCATTCCGACGTGTAGTTACTGAAAAAGTTGAAGTGGACCCTAGACTTAAGGATAATTCCTTTGAAGCTAAGGTAAATGCCCTAAAGATTTAAAAAGCCAAGGCAACTCAATGTAAAACAACATGTATTGTATAAAACGTATTGTTACTTGTTACTCAATGGCTGTCATTTTCGGGCATTTACTTTCGTGGAAATTGTACTGCATTATTTACACAGGGTTGTCTTGGTTTTACAAATATTAATTTACTCGTTAGGAGGGCGAAACTCAGGACGGCGACGGAGAGAACGAAGAAGGAGACGACAACCAAGGGGGTTGGCAAAACCGCGGTCGGGGCGGCTTCCGCGGCGGCCGCGGGAACGACAGGGGAGGCCGGGGGGGCTTCAACGACAGAGGAAGGGGCAGAGGCGGGTTCAACGATAGAGGCAGGGGCGGATTCAGGGGCAGGGGTGGATTTAACGACAGGGGGGGACGCGGGGGTAGAGGCGGTCGCGGGGGCTTCGACCGGGGCGGGTTCGGAGGCGGCCGAGGCGGCGACCGCGGAGGACGAGGCGGCAACCGCGGCGGCCGCGGGGACCGTCACTCCTGGGGAGGCGATAAGGGTGGATTTAACAAAGGAGGGTTCAATGACAGAAAAAGCTTCGATGGCGGAGATAATTCTCAAAACAAGAAAATAGTATTCGACTAAATGGGTAAGCATATTTTGAAATATTTTGAAAACTACTCTAGCAATTAAATGCTACTACGTTCCTCAAAAATCTCTTTAAAAACTACAAAACTACTTGTTTGGAAAGGATTATTCAACAAGTTGATTCTTGTTTCACTTTATTTTTGCCTTGACACTAAATAAAATTTATTATCCCCCATCCATAATGCATAACTTCGTTATTGAGGAGTATTATTTCCGCTCAGTAGTTTTTCTTTTAGTAAATGATGACTTTCTTCAACAGTTTGGAGCCCGCGGTTCATGGGGAGAGCGTGCGAACCTCGACTTGAAACATACGCGAGGCAAGTCATTCAAACATGAAAAAACGAAGAAAAAGCGGGGCTCTTACCGCGGGGGTGCCATTGACACTGGCGTCCATTCCATTAAGTTTGAGGACTAATCCAATAGTATCACTATCTTCTATATTTTTTTATCTATATTTTGACTCCTGTTTCAATAACAGTTTATAGCCTGACCAGGAACATAAAAACCCTGGCATAGAGGCGCTTCAATTGCATTTGATAGTGCAACACTGAGTACAGTCGTACATGTGTTAAATTAATAGGCTAAATTTATGTATCAGGATTCAGGATTACGGGCTAATTTGATATTTTCATAAATTAACGAAAAATATTACTAAAGGTAACCTGGTTTAAATAAATTAAATGAAACCATAAATCGAGCTAGTAGGATTTATTTTTATTTATTCATCAATAATCAAATTCAGAACTTGAATATTCAACTGCAATGTCTGCTCATGAACGCTTCAAACTCGGTACTTCTTTCCCAATTCCATAAAATTCAAAACTTAGAAAGTGACAAAAAACTTTAAAATAGGTAGTTGAAACAGACTACAGCTAATTTTCATAGTGGACTGTACTATACGATAAACATGTCAGTCAATTTGACAACCTTTGTCGGAAACATTATTCAATGAAAATATTGTCCGAACCCTTAGTATTTCTCTTCGACAAATACATTAACACATCGTGAACCACTTTTCTTTCACGACTATAAAAATATTTTAGCAATTTAATTCACAAAATCAATTGCAAACATTCAAAATAAAGTTTGTTTACACTTTGACAACAATAGACTGACATGCAAGGTGACATGTCAATGAAGTTTTCAGTTACTGTTGCCATTAAAAGAAATTAGTACCATTAGTTTTCCGCAACATGGCGAGGGTTTTTATGTTCCTGGTCAGGCTATACATACCGTATTGCTGCTGCATTTACTATGACTTGATCGTAAGTTTTGAGACGATAAATTTCCGTCTCAGTTTCAGCTAGTTATAATTTTGTAGTTATTTAAATTGGTTTCTTAGGTATTTATTTACCTAAACACTTAACTTTGCCTTTTGGTAAATATTTGTCGAGCTTTCGCATTTGATAGCTCGGAACTTAAATATTATTAGAGTTTATTAATGTAACTAATGACTTATTCAATGTGAAATGTTTCTTTCATTATTATAAAATATGCATTTTGAAAATGATGAAAATATACAACTTACATTATTGTTAACCACAAACCTAAATGCACAGACTTGATAAAAGTCTAGATAAAATATTATGTTAGTTTCAGCTGGATAATTCCATGCTTAGGGTGACGAAAATTTAAGTTTTATTTTTTTATCTGCTATCTTGCGTTTATGAATGAGAGACATGACTACGTGTCCAATAGAGTAATACATTTACGCTCGACTAATTAAGATTAAAATATATCTGTGTATTAATTTTAATTACTATGTAAATATTTGATATTGAGTAAGTGTTGATTTTATATTTGTACATAAGTAATTTAGGAATACGAAATTTGAATAAGGATGAGTTTTAGTATAATAAGCCCGCCTTTAATTTAAAAAAAAATCTGCAGTACTGTTTTATTTTACATCAATGATCAATTCCCCTTTTGATAAAAACCAATATAAACGGATTGTCGGATAAAGTAAAATAGATACCTTAATTTATAGCAAACCGGAAGCCAGCTAATAATAATGCAGTTCTGGAAATCAATTAGCTGGTAGATACGATGTCATTTCAGAAAGGAGGCTCCGGGCGGGCAAATGACGGTAGTCGAACTAACTCAATGTTCGCCGCGTGCGCGTAACCATCTGGTTTCCGGAATGCGGTGAGAGTTTTGAAGTGCACGAACTTAAGAGAATTAAAATTCCTCTGTCTTAATAAAATGCTATTAAAAATAAACTACATTTGATTATTGCATTCCAAAGAGCGCCGATTGGTCTGATGTTATTTCTGCATCTACCTACTTCTTTAGATAGAAGCCTTACTATGCCACTATAACCACCAATATAATAAATGTGAGTATTGTATAAAGATCAGAATTACCTAGTATATGAAAATAAATAAGATTTGAAAACACGCGGGTGACGCTGTGTCGCGCGGATATGATTGTGATTTCCACCGTAACCTAGTTCTCGTATGTGTTCTGTGACCTAGTTGATGTGACTTTCTTTACGCCTACAGTAGATAAAACTCTTCGAAATGATTAGTATTCTCATTTTTTTTATAAATAATCGTAAGCGTTTAAAAAAAGTGAGATTAACGAAAATTCGGTTTTATAGATGACCCACGCTGAACTGTCCCGCCAAACTCAATGACAGGGGGGCGCTACCATCGTTCAACTATATGGTTTCCAACATGGCAAAAATCTGAACCAGCGATCCGGTATTGACGGTGGCGCCCCACTGTCAATGTCATCGACAGGACAGTCCAGTATTTGGAACTATATATCGCACGCGCTTCGGGTGCCGGTTTTGACTAGTCCCGTTAGCATCTCTACTCTGTGACTAGTCCGTTCCTATTGGGGGCGTTTGGCCGAAAATATAATTTTCTCTTTGGTACGACCAGCTGATTGTCACTGTCAAGTCAGTTGTCAAAACATTGATAATAATTTTAGGTTATAATTTCTCAAAAAAATGATTCTTCATAGTAAAATTAATATTATGTTTCGTAATCTTTCGTCTGTACGTTTGACAACGAATAGAACATTTAAGAATTTTGGCCACAAACGGGAACAAATTCCTCTTGTTACCACATTATGGCATGGGTTCCTTACCTTTACTTTCATTGGAACGGCATTGAATTGGGACGCGTATGTATTTTATTATTTACTCTACCTATATTCTGAATAATCCACAACATAATATTTCAATTTACCTACATATTATTACTAAAATGTAAATTGTACGGAATCATTTGAGATTGTTTTCTCTCATTAGTTTGGTTTCGTTGCTGAATACTTACATTTCTAAAGGAAAATTCAAATAAATATTTGGTAGTTTCTTGACTTTTAATACTCTCAGACCTATCTTAGTTTTACCACGTATTACATTATACATCAATTTAAAAATCAGTTTTATGTTAAGAGTATATCCATGTTCTTATAATAACTGATTTTAAAAATTTAACTCCTTTCCAGAATAAACAAATTCTTTTTTGGTGACAAGGACTTTGATGAAGATATTCAAAAGTCTCTGGCATACAAGATCGTAGAAGATTAGGTAACAGGTTTGGGATTTTAGTCAATTATAATGTAAATTTTAGGAATTAGTAATAATTGTAAACGCGTACAACTAAATGTAAAATATACTTTTAAGATAATATAGGTGTTTTCTATTTAATTTACTGTTATATCTGTTATATAGAAAAAATCTGCCACACAGTTGAGAGGTTTGATAAATGAAACTTGTAAATAAAATTCATTTTTGGCACCACTATTTATAAAATGGGGGCAAGTAATCATATTTACACTCAGCAGTTGTTGATGCCACAGATGAGCATGACTAAAAAGATGTGTTAGACATCAATCATAATCATGGTAGCATCTCATTGTACCCTAAGGACTTGGGATATTTTTGAACAATATTTTTTAAATTCAAACTAGCACTAATGGGAAAATTAAATTTTCACCACAACATCTCTTGCCAGTATCTACTAGATTAACTGCTAATAAATCCTCACCAGTAAAAATTTGGTTTGTTCTATGCCACAAGGTTACTCCACTAAGTAGTCAGTCTGAGCAATTCATGAAAATTTTTTTTTTTACTATTACAGAGAATGGAGATAATGAAAACATTAATATAAATAAAATACTTTATTTAAGCTCACATATCATAATGTGTTGTATGCTAACTGCAATAAGTAAATCTAAATAAATAGTTCTTAAAAATTAAAATTACCATCAACAGTAGGTAAATATAAAATGTTGCAAACATGAAATTTAATCTGCAATCCCTTATCGTATTACATTAGAGCATTGTAACAAATCATAACTAGATACAATATCATATATGGTACTCGAACATTAACTTAAAAAGTTATAATTAAGGAAACCAAAATTACCATACTTTCAGGTAGTTGGTGCACCAATATATTTTCAAAAGAAACCATTGATTACCTTTCGCGAAGCTCTTAAAATGTTCTTTCTTTAATATTAATTACTACTACTGTTAATGTTAGTGACAGTTCACTGCAACATTCCGGAAGCTGTATACAAAGCCTTAAAAAATTAGACAAAACTGTGAATTATTATCACAATATTGCGAGCATTGTTGTAGTAGAAAAGCACCAAATTGTTAATAAAATATTATTCATGTTACATGAAAAAAGGAAAGAGGACTCTGTCACTTCTTATGACTATTTACATCTTCCTAATATTTTGTCATTCTATTAAAAATAAACAGAAAATAGGTACAGTACTTTTAATTGATGATTAAATTATTGTTGCTACTCAGTGACTAGTTTTACATACAACTTCACATTATGTATTTTTTATTTAGTTTGATTACCTTGACAGTTTTGTTTAATATATTGATAAATAAGATTATATACAATCAATATAAAACATAGTATTGCTGCATGATAATGTATCGGCATGTTATAAATAGCTTTCCAAACGCCTTTCTGTTCCCTGACACTGTTTAATTTAGATGTTCTCCTTGAAACAAAATCTTCATCGGAAGTTATTTTCGGTTCACTAGCTACCGGTGGTTCTTGCTGTTTTTGGATCACTGTTTCTTTTCGTATATTATCATTAACATCCTCCTTATGGTAACTGCTAAGAGATTTATTTGTACTCGTCTCTAAGTGGTAAGTTGTCGCTTTACATGCTTCATTTGTTATTGTTTCCTTACTTTCCTGCTCAGTCTCCCTTTCTACGATAATTGGTACTGGCGTTGCCCTGCTAATGACTTCTGTTGAACAGGCGTCCAAACTTTCCTGTAAGTAGTTATCAATTTTCGTCAATTGTTCAGACAACAGCAAGTTCGCCAGTGGACTATGAGGCCTTCTAAACGGTTCAGTAATATTCAAGTTGTCAAAGTTTTTCTCCTCAATTTTTACACTCTCCGTTTCGAATTGCTTCTCTTTGCATAAAGAATTTACTATTTTGTAACTTTTCAGATCCTCATAGTTGTCTTTCAGGTATTCGATAGTAGCTCTGTTTATGTAAAACTGTGACGGAGTAAGCAATCGTGGAGTGTCTAATTCCGGTGGCACTGGAGTGAACTTGACTTTGATGACGTCCTCATTGGTGATCGTTTCAGTTTTGATGATGTCGTTGACGTACTCCTTGTTACCGTGCGATCCGCTACCCTCGTACACGCTAGGCGAGTCGGTGACGTCGTGGCGCGTCGAGCTGTGGACGCGATCCACGGTAACCTTGCTGAGTAACTTGCCATCCGCGCTTCTTATGTCAGAAAACAGCCCTCCATCGAAGTGGAGGGGCGTTTCCAACTTCCTCGTCCTTTGCGGCGACGGTGTTTCAGGCGCCGTAGCAGTGAGCGGCGAAGGGGAGACCGGGCGGAAAGTCGTAGTCGAGTAAACAGTGTCGGAGTTGTACATTATCTGCGGGGGACTAGCGGGCGTGAGTCTTACAGAAAGGTCGCCCTCCCTTTGCGAAGAAGCTCTGTCCTTCGAGGTTCTTTTTGCACACCTGAAGAGAAAAAAAACTAGTGATTAGTTTTTTATTTTAAACGGAACTTTTCTCATTTGGTTAAACTGATCATGGTTGGATAATAAATTCGTAATCATTGTGGTTGAGGATTGAAGCGAAAATATCTATTTACACAGTTCGATTAATCTTTTTTTTTCTTATTTCAACTTAGACAGATTTTTAACATCAAATAGGCATCAAGTGTTAAACAAAAAATATGTAAAACATAGTTTCATTTCAGCACTTGTGGACAAAGTCCCATGATATGCATCACGTACTATGCCACGAGCTTGTGTACAGCAGGCCCAGAAATAACTTTCTTTGTCCGTTGTGCAATATTCTATTTATTTAAGTGATTTTTCATGTCATTCCCCATCCCCATGACCCTATACTGCACAACAGATTTTCGTTTTCATCTAAATTACGATAAGGATTGTTGACACCATTAACAAAATGGTTTCGACATAATATTGCAGGGTCTAAGTAACACCGGTCTCCTCTCTGGATCAGTTGTTTGTTTTGTCTCATTTAGTTGGGAGCCCTGAAATTGTTAGTAAATGGTGTCAACAATCCTGCTACATCTACTTACATACTAAATGCGCATTTTTATAACGACACTATGAAGACACATTGATAACAATTACCACTTAAATATGTTGCTTAATTATTGTTAATAGAAGTTTCAATAATTATAACGAAGATACTTAGGTAGTAATGTCGTTATAATAAATGCGTTAATTTCTAATAAGGAATACATTTATATAAGTATTTTTATAACAATCGAACAAACACATCAAATAAATATAATAGGTATCTCTACATAAAATAGCCAAAACATTTTAAATAGTATTAATATCAAATCGGCTACGACAAAATGTAAGCGGGTCTATTCTACATACAAGCACTTCGAAAACAAATACCTTTATGTACAAAATTATAATAAATATAATATCTAACAAAATCTTCCTGAACCGTGGGAAGTTTAATCAAATATTATTAAAGGTACTTAGCTATTTAAAAAGGGACACACTCCTGGAGAAAACACACACAATTGTTAATTCAGGGATAATTAACACAGTGTGGCGGCGTATGTATGACGAGCTTCGTACTAATAATAAATTGTGTTGTTAAAAATATTAAATAACAAGAGTGTATTATTAATTTTATCATCCCTTTCTTTTTTATTATAAATTTTTAGAGTAATGTAAATACAATCATTTATAATGATCGATGTGACTGAAAGAAAAGCATGTTCATGAATTTTCGTGTGGGTACAGGGAGAATTCAAACATCAATTACATGGTTATTGATCAAAATTGCTTATGTTTTGACTATTTTACGAGTGTTACATTAACTTTACAGGGAGCTTTTATGACAAAGATTATAGTAGCTGACATCGAAAGTAGAAAGACAGGTTGAAGTTGATATAGAGCGTGTTTGTTTTAATGTTTTATTAATTTAGTAAGGCTCGCATCATACGCACCGTGCAGTTGAAGCACTGACTGTGGTAGTTATTGTTGAGCGCCTCCACCCACCTGTCGCCCGCCTCCACTGGGAAGCCGCAGGCGAAACATTTCGTCGTGAACAGCTCATTCCAATCTATTCAAACACATTTCATCATTAATAATGTACAGCAGTCATCAGACTAAACATTTTTTTTTTGCAAAATAGCCCGTATTACCACGAGATAAGATGCAACAGTGTTTAGCTTGATGCGCTGTCGTCTGTACAGTCGCGAACATATCCACCTACGATTCGACTTTCCTGGATTGATATTGTTCAAATTTTTCTAGGAAAATTCGTCGTTTTGTGGTTGATTTGCAGGCGACCGTACTATAGCAAAATATCTAATAAACACTAGTTCCATAAATGTCTTATAATAAAGCAATTAAAGATACGCAGTGTTTACCAAATAAATTTTGTCAAATATTAAAATTCAAGAATAAACAAATTAAATGTCTATCGAAAAACTTTACTTACCTGATTCACAGTATGGCAGGCCATCTTCTAAGAAGAATGGATTGTTTCCGAACAATTTTCCGCAGTAAACGCAGTTGAAACATTCAGGGTGGAAATGTTTTCCTATAGCGTTAAGACAGTCCTGAAAAGTCCCAAGTTAAAAACATTTTAATGTTCTGTTTCAACTCTAAAGCACCTAGCGGTAAAATACTTTCTTACAAAGATGAAAGCGAGATATTTTAGAGATATAAGCGAGAGGCATTCAAAGGATCTAAATTCAGTGACGAACAGTGGGTGCTAGACACTAGACAAAGTGCACATTTATAATCGCAAACCAGTCGAAAAATGGTCGAAAGGCCTTTTTTGTATGGAGTTTTGACGGATTCGATCAAAAAATGCAACTTGTCTAGGGGTGCAGAAGATTTTAATTTTTACTATTTCTATTGGTTCCTTGATATTAACTCCTTTGTTTACCATGCGCGAACAGCCTAAGTAAATGCCAAAAAAATTAACTTACGCCTTTAATTTTGGCGTGACACTTGTCACAGGCGGGCGCGATGTACTGTTCGAAGCAGTATTCGCAGTACAGCTGTCCGTTCTCCTCCACGAAGCCGATGTCCTGCAGCGGGCGGCGGCAGGTCGCGTTCACGCAGATGAAGTGCTCCGGGCACCAGATCCGGCCCAGCGCGGTAATGAACGGGCCTCTGTTCACAAAAACAAGCACACATTTAGAATACAGTGGACCCCCGGTAGTCCGGCCCCTGTCTAATCCGGCGCCCCCTGTAATCCGACATGGTCTATTATTTATTATTGAATACGTATTCGCTAAGCATGAAAAGTTATTGCATATTTTTTGTAAGTAAGCTTTCGTAAGCTCTCTATTGTTGTTTAATTTACTAAATTTGACATACATAATGAAGTATAATTAGTATTTCAGAGTACAATATGTACATATGTATATAATATGTATGTATAAAGAATCTTATCATTGGATCTGTAATTTGTCGGATTACAAGGTACTCTTTTGTAAAAAAAAATCCGGACTATAGGGTAGGGGGTCTTAGGCAGTACTCTATAATCCGATGAATTCGATAGTTCGACACTGCCCTGCAAAATGTGTGTCGGACTACCGGGGGTCTACTGTATTTGGAATTTTGAAGAGCAAAAACCTACTCTATTGCTGAGTCATAAAAACTATTTAACACGTTATTGTTAATATGTTAATGATCTTAATAAAAAACAACACACGTGCGTAAATTATGTCCTACAGTGTCTGTACAGTCATGCGACTTGAACTTACGTCAGATTTATATTTTGTTTGTATTATAGGTCGGTAATAAAATGCACATTACCTGGTTATAGCTTTGTCACATTTATGACACACTGGATACATCCCATCTGTGACGTCCACGGAAGTCATCGTGCTCAACGGTCGGGCGATAATGTGAGAGTCCCTTCTTCCATCATCGTTTCTAGTGTTTTTCTTCTGTCTGCGTTTAACAACGACCTCTGACTCATCGTCATCTTGTTTTTCACTACCGTTTGTAAATTCTGTTTCACTTCTGTTTATTGTTTTACTGTTTACGCTTTCATTTGAATTTATAGTAGTGTTATTATCATTTTTAACTGATTTGTAAGTATACAACGAATTGTCACACATGTTATGAGGCAAACTCTGCTTTTGAGAATAATCATCATCGTTTATTATAGTTTTAGAGTTTCCTTCGTTGAAACTTTTTTCAATTGAGTTGTTTTTAATTGAAATATTTAAGTCTGTAACATTATTCTTATCATTAAACTTATTAACTTTATCAGCATAGTTATTTAGACCATTCATGGCATCTTTGTTTTCAAAAATTTTCTTTTTGTTTAATGTATTGCTGTCCAATTTGATTTCTGGTTTATAAGTATCGTTGTTGAAAGAATTCATGCCGTTAAGGAAAGATGTTTTCTCGAAGCCAGCCTTTTTGCGTAACGTGTTTGAAACTGAGATATTGTTTTCAGGTTTTTCCTTGTAGTCCTCACTGCTGGAGTAGCCACTTCCATTTAGAGATTTTTCCGTTTTATTAAGTGTGTCAGTTGCAAAGCTATTATTGAGATTCTTGGGAATATAGTCTGTTTGTTTTATGTTATTGTTCACATTTATATTCATCGGTGGTGGAATTGGTGTACTGTGAGCGTTAAACGTTGGTATTGGAGACTTAGGTATCGGTGGTGGTACAGGAACGTTGCCATTACTGAAATTTATAGTCATAGGGTGATTGTTTATGATTGTTTCTTTAATCTTATCTCCCAGGCTTTGGATACTATCTTGAGTCTTATATCCTTTTTCGAATGTTTTGTTCAGAGGATGCTTTAATGTACTGTCACGACTATTTTCTCCGGAGGACGATCCATCGGCATTTAGAGGATGTTTGGTAACGACTGTGTCTTGGATTTTATCTGCCATAGACTGGATATGGTCTGCAGGTTTAATTTTCCTCTGAATACCAATTTCATATCCGTTCAGTGCCATTTTAGCCATTTTTCTAATAAGTCGTTCCTCGGCCGGACTTTTAAAATCAGTCTTTTGCGGGCTGGATACAGACTGCGAATCTAAAACTGTTAAGAAATAAAATACTCAATAAACAAACCATACAAAGCAACACTATGTTATCTGTTAGAAGTTATTATTCTAAAACATTTAGTTTAACCGTAGAAGCGTAAGGATTTTAAATAAATACATAAATATAAACAAAACGTACATAAATAAAAATACGCAAAAAGTAAATACATATAATGTGTTTACTAAAAATTATTCCCGCGGCTTCTGTGGTACGCATTTCCTAGAAGTATTGTAAGTTCCTAGTTCATAACTAAAACATGCCAAAACTAATAAACGAAACATCGATTACGAAACAAATACACTCCACAGTTATAAAATCGTTCATGCAGCACACGAAATAACCTGTGCACTTGAATCACCTAATATTCCCATTGCAGGAAGCGCAAAGGGGCACCCTAGAACCAGGCAGTGCTGCCTTGTTCAAGACACCGCGGCCGCGCTTGGGCGCCGACGAGACGCCGAATGTTTTGCCGCGAGCAGCAGCTCCTACACTGGAACCTGTCGACGGGGTAGGATCACACACTGGACCTTGGTTAGCACCAGAAATCGAAGGTTTTGGTTGACAACTTTCTATTGATCTACTGGCATTGGAAACATTTTCATTAGTATGGTTAAAAGATGAACTTTGTTGGGTCGGCATACTCATGATCGGTGGTGGAAAAACTTGCTTAGGATTAATACTAGACGGCCGAATGTTGGAATCGATGTGCTGATATCCAGCAGATGACGAACCACCAGTTCTGATTTCTATGACTTTAGCGGATTGAGTCCTTTCAAACTCTTCGAAAGTTTTTCTTGTGGTTTGAACTGTAGTATTTCCATATTCAGCCATGTTTTGAGACTGCATTTGTCTTTGACCATAGTTTTGGTTTATCATGGAATCTTCCTTGATATTCATATTCTGTTTATTGTAAGTTTCACTTTTGTATCCAACATTACTATGTCTTTGTTCTCTGATGACAGAAGGTTGATCTTGAACCCAACTTTTGGGGAAATTTGTGCTTAATGCATCAGTTTGATGTTCTTTCTGTGCCATTTCATGTTCCTTCCTAAGATTTGAAGTTGCCTGCGTCAAAAGTGTGTGGGGTGTATGACGCTGAGGAGTAGATTCTTTAAGTCTGGGAGCTTGAGCTTTCAGGGGATTCGGCGGTGGCCCTTGGGCTGGTGATCTTGATCGTAGTTTAGGTGTAGGGGAACGACTGCCTTCTCGACTTGACGGATCATACATATGCGTCTCAGGCGCTATGTGCTCAACAGTGACCAAATTCATTTGGTAATGAGGGATAATAGGCGCAGGTTTATTTATTAGGCTTGGAGTAGTAGGGCGGCTACGCGCCGGAGAGGTTCGTAGGAAGTGTTCATCTGCCACTGGTTGAAAGGTCATAGAAATAGGAGTATTTCTTTGGAACTGTAAATGACTTTGTTGAACTGGAGTTTTGATTTGAGGAATTTTAGGAACTTCAGCTGTTGGCATTGTTGGTATATAAGGTTTTGGCTCCTGGGATTTATCACGTGGTTTAGTTGGAGGATCAGTGGTTGGAGTAATGGGTCTTTGAGGTATAGCTGGCGCAAAACAGACTTCAGGTGTGATACCTCTTTGAGAAGGTAGTTGATCAAAGTTTTTCTGATAAGGAGGAATTTTGTCAGCTTTGTGTAAGCCGGATTTTGATCTCACAGCGGTAGAAGTAAGGGACTCCTTTTGATCCAAATGCTCAAAAAATTGCTGTGCATTTTTGACTGAAGAAAATCCATGAGTACTTGTACTCATGCTGCTAGTAGTTACTACCGATTGTTGTGCAATTTTGGATTCTGATATCATCATTTCCTGTTTAGATCGTGTAGATTTTTCGAAACTAGTTTTTAGTTCGTCACTTATTGGAGGGAAATGAGCAAGTTTACAAAATTCTTCTGGTTGAGGTGGCGGGAATACTTGCTTTGCTGGGACCGGTTTAAATGCCGACGTATTCGATGAAGATTGTAATTTATAGGTGTTTTGCATGCTTGAGAATTCAGAATGAATTTGATCAGTTAATTGGGTTGTTGTCTGGGTTGCAATCGGTCGTATAATTTCAGAGGAAGTTGATTGAACTTGTACAGTTGAAGTCGAAGTATAATGACTGCTACTCGTTTGCGATTGTGAAGTCATACCCATCGGCATTGGACTATAAGGTCTATCTGGAGCAATAGTAAGAGCTTCTCTGAGAGATCCTCGCTCTATAGGATGAGTTGAGGAGACAGGGGTAAATGGTCGGTTCGGTGCTGTAGTCAGTGCATCAACCATTGGAGATGAAGCTTCTTCTCTTGGTACTTTTGGTTCAATGTTGATCTTAAAATCTGGGGGTATATAAGGTTTAGTTTCAGCTGGCATTGGTATGGGCGCTTGACGTGATTCAGGGGGATTATACGTTTTGATGGGTGGAATAGGTGTTATACCACGATTCGGTTGCTGCGCAAACATAGGCGAAGGTTGAGGTGGCAACTTGAACTCCTGTTTATCTCCTGATATTGGCATTGGGTTTGACGGTATCGGATCTTCTTGTAGAGGAATGTTCTGACGCTTCATATTATTTTGTTGAGGATTGGGATTATTTTGTTGAGGATTAGGATTATCAGGTTGTGGATTTACGTATTGAGGAGCACACGGCATAGGAGAATATGGACGATCTGGTGCAATCGTTAACGCTTCCACCATAGAAACATGAGGGCCACTGCTCACAGGGAGGGTTTGTGTTTGTAAAACAGTATCAGATTTTGAAACTTTTTCCCCAACGAGGTCCTTGTACTTTACTTCTTTTGTGGTGGTGGCAATCTTTTGGGATTCATGAGACATTTGTGCAGATTCAATGGTGTTAGTTTTCATTGATACATTTTCAATTTCTGTAACTTCTTTAGTATTTTGAGTTGACTCGGATGTTTTATTAGAAGAAGCAGTTTGTTCTTCAGTTGCATTGTTAAGTTCAGATTTTGTCTCTTCAATTTTATTGCATACAGCACGGGATTCCTCATTATTAACACTTTTCATTTCAGTGGTCGTATCTTTGGGCTCAGGCTTGGGTTCAGGGTTTGGTTGAATTTTAGTTTCTTGAATTTCAGATGCAGAAGTGATCGATTCTTTCGCTACAGCTACCTCCGAAGTGACCGTCGTATTCGAATCAGAAATCTCTTTGGTTTGCTTTTGGGCAATGGTATCCATAGGATTTTCGAATGACTTTTGTATAGGTGGACTTGTCTGGGATTGATAGATCATAACGCTTTGAGTTTCTGCTGATGCTTGCTCCGAAAATGACTGAACAATGCTAGTAGTTTCTCGCTTCTCTTGAGATTTATGACTCTGGACAATCGATTCTGATTTTGAAGAAGTTGCTGTAGTGGTCGACATACTGGCTGAAGCATATGTAACACTAGAAGCGTGTTCTTTAGTCTCTTGGCAAGAAGACATCTTTTCAACAATTTGCTGAGCATTAGTCATAGTTGGAAGCATAGCCACCGATTCTGCCATTGAGGTAGCCAGTTCCTTAAACTGTTGGCTTGAAGACATTGCCTGTTCCATCATTTGTTGAGGATTAGTCATCATTGGAGGCATAGTAAGTAATCCTGTTACTGAAGAAGTCACTTCCTTCGTCTGTTGGGTTGAAGACATTCTGCGTTCAATAGTTTGTGCGGTACTAGTCGTCACCGGCGGGACAGACACTGATCCCGCCGCCGACGCAGCTGGTTCAGGGCGAGTGTTACTTGTCATTTGCAAGTCGACCTCGTGTTTCGGTAGTTCGTCATCGGGAGGGTTTGGCGGGGGCCACACAACGCTTTTTACATTTTGGGCTATTAGTGCATTTTAAGTATGTTAAGAATGGGTGGAGAAAGGAAGAGATGAAAGTAAATATTAGTTTTTTTTTTCGAAAAGCTATGTAACTAAGTATCTAATTGCAGAAAAGTTTAAAAGAAGCGACATGTTAAATTATCTGACGAGTAGTCGCAAGCGCTATCGTGTCGCGTGTATGTGACGCGCGACCCGATATTCGACAGATATGTGCACTGTGCCAGGATTGTTATTTTAATGCTGTGTCCAGCATTGGCTGCCCGCTTAGCGCAAACACGTTATGCTGATTTATTATTATACATATAAATACAATAGCCGCAGTAAGCTGTGCCGCACTATGGAGCGAAATTGCGATTTATGGACATAGCGATGTTTTTCACAATTTCTATTTGAAAAAAATACCTATCGATAGGTTACGTTATTCTGATGAATAAATGCTGCACAAGTTTTTCTCTAAAACCAATAGTTTGACTGGAAAAAAATATTTTCCATTTTCGTTGTATGGAATGAAACATAAAGTGGTCGATTTCGACTAAGCCTTGACAGATTTTGCTTTGAAACTACTTGAGCCTTGTTCTATGGCTTGTTGACTATAATCCTGCAAAAACAGCGCGCGCCCAAAGTTGCCCGTTCAGAAGTTATGAGGTTCCAAAAAATGAAAATTAAAGTAAGTAAAAGTATCTTTTTTTGGGTATAAATCTTTAAAGATTCAACTAAAACATGAAAATTATATACTTTAGTAATGTAATTAACCTTTCTCTTGTCGTCTTATCTAAAGAAAAGTCAATTTTACTTACTTTAATTTTCATTTTTCGGAACCTCATAACTTCTGAACGGGCAACTTTGTGCGCGCGCTGTTAGTCTAGGATTATAGTCAACAAGCCATAGAACAAGGCTCAAGTAGTTTCAAAGCAAAATCTGTCAAGGCTTAGTCGAAATCGACCACTTTATGTTTCATTCCATACAACGAAAATGGAAAATATTTTTTTCCAGCCAAACTATTGGTTTTAGAGAAAAACGTTCATAATATTTATTCATCAGAATAACATACCCTATCGATAGGTATTTTTTTTAAACAGAAATTGTGAAAAAAAAATCGCTGATTTAATTCCTTTTAAGTTTATTAAAATGTGTTTTTAGCAGTAATTTAAGGTTAATTTACATTATTAACGTATGAAATCTTTATATTTTTGTTAAATCTTTAAAGATATTCCAAAAAAAAGTCACTTTTACTTACTTTTTTTTAATTTTTCAGAACCTCATAACTTGTGAACGGGCAACTTTGGATGCGCGCTGATAGCGTAGGATTACAGTCAACAAGCCATAGAACAAGGCTCAAGTAGTTTCAAAGCAAGATCTGTCAAGGCTTAGTCGAAATCGACCACTTTATGTTTCATTCCATACAACGAAAATGGAAAATATTTTTTTCCAGTCAAACTATTGGTTTTAGAGAAAAACTTGTGCAGCATTTATTCATCAGAATAACGTAACCTATCGATAGGTATTTTTTTCAAATAGAAATTGTGAAAAAAATCGCTATGTCCATAAATCGCAATTTCGCTCCATAGTGTGCCGGTCTTATTTTTATAATTTCTATTTATAAATTACCTTTAAAAAGGGACACTGGGGCCTCTGTTGAAAATAAATAATGTTTTTATAAATTTTAAATCCAATTTTGCGTGATTCAAAGCCAATTTGTAATTTGATCTTTTGTATTTAGAATAACAAATAGACGTTGTGAATTGTGTAGCTCCAGCTATAGCATACTCTGAATGTACGAAAACACATTATAATATTATTCAATACACCTAACTTAGACTAAAATAAATTATATGTTGTAAAATATATAAAAATATTTGGTATAAAATCTTAAATAACTGTAACATTTATAATGCAATACAAAAATAAATTTCCAATACATAAAATACTATGTAAATGTATTAATTATACCCGTTAATATTACGTAGTAACTGTATAAAATAGTATCCTCTCTTTGCAGAGTTAATTACCCCTTTCTAAAACAACGCTCAAGTATAAAATAACACTGGTCTAAATATTCAACCAATCACAGATTTAATTCTACGTTTATGTTTGAATTGAGTTCAGTTCAGGCGTTGTTTTAGAACATGAGAAAAATGTTTCAATATGAACCCACAAGAATAAATTCAGGCCCGTAATTGGTCTAATGTTGAAATTCAAGGCCATACGAAACTGTTTGATTTTGAGTCGAGTTTTACTCAATAGATTTAAAGTCAACATTTTTACACACAACTTACTCTAGCTCTCTGTCGAGGGGTGCAGAGTGCACTGCAAATGCGATCTATGAGTGTAGCAAGCTTGCCCTGAAGATTCCAGTTCACTCATATTTAGACCAATCACAGTTGACTTTATACTGGAGTGTCTCCTGTGGCTTAGTGCGAGTTTACATCAAACGTCATCGCTAGCGACTGCGTAAAAAATTACATTAAACAGACAGATTGTACAGCGTCCCTAGCGGATACTTTCAAGAACTAAAATCAATCAAATCATTTGCAAACTCGCACTAAGCACACTGAAATCTACATTCAGAGGTAACAGATTAAGTTCTAGATGGCAAATGTGACTCGCTTACTCGGTGCGAAGGGCGCGACGGGAGCGGGCGCGGGAGCGGGCGCGTGAGCGGGCGCGGGCGCGGTCACGGGCCGGGCGGGCGACATGGGCGCCGAGCGCGGCGATAGCGAAGGCGAGTATGCCGAGCCGATCGACGAGCCGAACGGCTTCGGGCCCGACAGGTTGCTTGACGGCTGCGGTTGAAGACGATGTTATACAAGTGTATTTGGGAAGAAAATTAAAAAACATGAATATGTGATGATATTTTTATACAAAGATCCCAAATGGGCAGGACCATCTTCAACCTACTCTGAAGACCCAAGGGGGCCTTTTCCTCTAAAAAAAAGGGAAATTATAAACTTTTCACCGATTTTAGGGTCTCCTTTGATCGCGGGGCCCTGCCGCCAGTGGGAAAGAAGGGCCTGCAAATGGGTAGTTGACAGCACTATGTAATTACTTGTATGACTTCTCTACAGGGTGTTAGGTAAATGGGTATATGAGCCGACACTAGCCCATGTTAACATAGTCATATAAATGGTATGGTGAAGTCAGAAAATTGATATCTTCATTTTTATTATTTTATTTTTCATACAAATCGATTTTATGAAATTTATTTTGTATGAAAATTAAAATGATATCAAATTTCTGACTTCACCATACCATTTATATGCCCATGTTAACATGGGCTAGTGTCGGCTCATATACCCATTTACCTAACACCCTGTATAGCTTTGTAAAGCAATAGGAACAAATGTTTGTCAATTGAACTATTCAAGTCTGAGAAGTAACCCAAAACCTCAATAGGTTTCTCCTCAAATGTTATAAAAGACAATCAAATATTGAACTTACGCTGAACATCGATGATGAACCGTTCGTGTAGTTGTTTGTGGCCAGCGGTGGCAGTGGAGTCGAGTACGCGTTGGTTGGAAGACGACCGCCCCTATAAAAGTGAAATTAAGCATGTATAGACGAAGGCACTTCAATCTTAACACTGTGGGTTCCATTGTGTTTATCATAGGTGCTATTTTGCAACAAAAGTATTCAGTTTGATATGCCATGGGGCAGAGGAGTCAAGTACGCGTTGGTTGGAAGTCGGCCGCCCCTATAAAAGTGAAATTACGCAGGTACATTACCAGTTGCGCTATCAATTTAAAACATAAACATATAAATATTCAGTTTGCCCTCATTCAGTTAGTATCGCACATTGCCTCGAGGCAACCAACATCGTTTCAGACGATATCACTTTTACCCTTGACCAATATACGTTACGTTTCAAACATATCGCCCGTCGTCCTATTTCTATTTGAGTAATGACAGTGCCTTGAACAGCATTCATTAATTTCAATAAAGCGGTCTATGATTTAAATCTCAAAACATAAAGGTAACGTATTGTATGATAGGATAGGTCGACGAAGACTTCTTCGGGTCTTATTTATACGCCCTTAACATACTGAACTTTTCTTTCTTTTCAGTGAAATCTATTAATTAATTTCAACTAAAATTAGGTACTACCTTCAGACCTTGTTCAAGATAAGGTTGAGTTAAGGAAACAAGTGTCACGAAAATGAAAAGTCGCTTGATTGAATTAAGCTGACTTAATCTGACATTCCACTTTCGTCAGTGCCACCACAAGTATAAAATTATTATCGCGAGGTCAAAGAATTAAAATACGGAAACCATAATAATTACTGTGGTGTCTTTATTTCCCCTCGAATAAGGTAAAGGCAATTCGAGTATCAATCAGGTCAGTCCAATATGGTGGTCACATTGGTAAGAGTATGTGACATTAACTTATGTATCATAATCATCGAGTAATTTAGTCTCCACTGCAGTAATATTTTGACCCTCTATAATTTACCAGAGCCAAATGGAAAAGGTCTACACTCCCCGCTGTGGCCAGAGGGGTTAGGATCCTGGCTATACAGAAGTTGCAGCGGTGGTAATAGTCTCGTAGACGGGTTGGGAGGGCCACATATTTTTCTTTTAGTCGCCTCTTTATGACACTCATCGGAAGAGTGGGGGTTGTAAACTTATGGTAACAAACTTAGATTCACGAAGGTCGCGGGAAGAGCCTGGATGCGGGCAGCGCAGGGCCGGTCGTTATGGAAATCCTTGGGGGAGGCCTTTGTCCAGCAGTGGACGTCATTTGGCTGAAAAAAACTTTTATTAAGTTTATCTGAAAGCAACCGCCTTGTAAGAAAGTTGGGAACGGACTGAGGAATCGAAAGGCTTATGGACGGAGCTTGGATGCCAAACTGCTGATTTGGCGCGATGGGCAGCCAGGGCAGCAGTAAGGGATACATGCATAGGATTATAACAGAACGAAACTTAGATGAAAGTAAACTTACGGAGGCACAGTGACGGGCTCGAGGTGCGGCGCGGGCGGGTGCTGGCGCGCGACGAGCTTGGCGTGGATGTCGCAGTACAGCTTGCCGTTCAGGTTGTAGTAGCCCTGGTTCTTCAGCGACGAGCCGCACGTCGCGCACTTGAAGCACTCCACGTGCAGGTTCTTATCCTTGATGCGCACGAACACGCCGCTGGACGAAATTATACACGTAAGAAACAGAAGATCACAAGCTGGAGACTGTACATCAAGGGGTTCGGACAAAAATATGCGGACGATACGAAGTTATTTCATCTCAGTTTTAGGTTCAAGTATTCTATGCATGCTCACCAATCTTTGCGGCTCCATATATTCGGGCAAGCGTAATAACTGTGCTTCTAAACGGTGCGGCAAACGAAGACATGCTAGTGAATATACATCTGCCCTGTTACAACATTCTCTAGTAATACCATTCCACCTAACTACTACGAATGGAAAGATGGAAGACGATTAATCAATGAAAGATGATAGCGCTTGCACAGACATCGAAACGTTGCGAATCGGTGAAATCGATTCTGGAATCGATGTGAGTACAAAATGGTGTCGCGGCCCCGTCGATTGGCTTTCGATATTTACAAACGGAGGACGAGGGGGGCCGCGACACGGAAAACATCGAACATAACTACTGCACAATAGAACTAGATCACAGGTCGACACGGTCGCAAACACGTCTAGGCATTCCTCGGGACGCCTTACATAATGTAGCGGTTACAGTCGGAGCAATAGGGCGTGTCGTTGACGACGGGCAGCGCGCCGGGCGGCGGCTGCGGCAGGCCCGGCGCGCCCAGCGCCACGCGCCCGTCCGGCAGCACCTGGTGGCAGCCCACGGGGATGCTGGGCCGGTGCGGCGGCTCCGGCGCCAGGGCCGGCGCCGGGGCCGGGGCCGGGGCCGGCGCCGGCGTCTGCGTGCCGGTGGAGCGCGGGCGCGGCGAGGCGGGCGCCACGCGCGGCGTGCGCGAGCGCGAGCGGTGCGTGCGGTGCAGCGAGCTCGGCGTGCCGGCGCGGCCCACGCTCGCGCGCGAGTAAAACGTACACGCCTCTGTCGGCCCGCAATGTTCGGTTATTTACACATACACGCCCGGTGCTGCTGGGACGCTACCGGTCTCCGCGACCTTAGTGCTGGGCGAGTGCGAAGACGACGAGAGACCGTACATTTTGTAGCGAAGAATAAAAATTAAGCGTACCTTTAATGATGCCGCACGTACGTCGTCCAGTATTACCTTTTAGGTGCGGATAAAATATTTAAGTAAATAATTGAAAATGTCCGCCTGCTGCAAAGGAATCGTAATGTCTCATCGGTATCGATCGACTTCATATAAATATTAATATTGGTATTACCCCACTTTAGGAGCTAGTCGATTTATATTAACGACTCGACACATCATAATAACTGCGGTCATTAGTTAGCAGTCTCATGTCATCTAATCTCTGCAGTTAATAACGCTATGACGAGTGACCCGTCAATTGGCATCGGCCAGCGCTGGGTGCCAATTCATATTCGTCCTCTACAAAATGTATGGGTTCTACCGCCGTCAGCATCGCCGGCGCATCTAAGGTCGCTTAGTCCACAGGGGGCGGGGTCGATGGGGGGTCGCGAGGGTCATGCCTGTGGGGGGGGCGCCCGACGCGTGCCACCGTGTCGGCGAGCGCGACTTACGTGATGAGGCGCTCGCACTCCTCGCAAATGTTTTGTCCGGGCGGCAGGCCGCCGGTGTTGTTGACGGGCGCGTCCGGGCGCGTGACGGGCGCGGCCACGGGTCGCAGGCCGGCCACGGCGGGCGGCGGCGGCGCGGCGCCAGGACACACTTCTACTACGTGCCAATTACAATTTTGAGTTAATTTTGAACGATTCGAAATTCAAAATCTTTTTTTTTATTTGTGAAGCATGATGATTCAAATATTCATATAATGCCTTACTTGAATAAAACTTTTTTATTTTCTATTTTGTGTGATGCATAAATAATGAGGGTTTTCGCGTATGAAAGATCCGCTAGATGGCGGGACGTGGATGTGGGGTCTGACTGCTGCGTGATTGGTGGATTTTGACATATCTGTCAATGTCATGTCAAAAATAACCAATCATGCAGCATTTGGACCTCGCGTCTACGTATTGCCATCTGGCGGATTTTTCATACGCGAAAACCCTCATTGGAAATGCAAAAATAACGCCTACTAGAATAATCTTCCAATTACTAACGCTCGGGGCTGATTAACGTGTCGCATGATGACTCACGGACACAAGTGCGAGTCGTATTAAACTGTGATTGCCAACATACAGTACTATATTTAGATAAATGTAAAGTACTAAATATGACTGTAACTTTAAGTACCTAATACTTCTTTGTGCATGTAGGCCAGATCTAAATATAACAGGAGACTCATTCTATTTATTAGCGGTTTACGGCGGGCTAATAAATCATTATATTAATGTATCCAGAGTGATTGTGTAATCTGCGTCTTGGTCGGGATTTGGAGTCTGATGAAATATTTACAGGTGAAATGTCGCTTCAGAGGGCGGATCTAAGTGATAGGTACGGTACACATTAAGAAAATTATATCAATTAAAGAAATCAATTTGAAAGCTTGTTTGTCTTCGCTTATACCTGGCTCGGGGT